TTTTTTTATACTCAACTGTATGATTTTTCCATGCCAGCCAACCTCACATGACTGAACTACTTCATTTTATTATCTTCTGCAGAACAAAGTTTAAAAAAATGCTGATCCTATGTCTAGAACAATATGTGACACAAAAGTTTCTCTAGTATGATTACCAGGGAATTAATCCTCCTTAAAGGCAAAGAAAAATCACTTGCAAAGCATAACACTAGATTCTTTTTTATTCCATATTTAATCAAATGACGTATATATCTGTAACTATATTATAGTAATAGAGGTGAAAAACAGCAACATAACTGACAAAATGTATATGATGTAAAAAATCCAAAGATTTTTTTTTTGAAGGAGTAGAGAAAGGATGAGAAATGGGGAAATAAGAATTTAAAAAGAAAATTAGGAGGAAAAAGTCCTTAACTAACTGCAATCATTCTGTTATCAATAGCGTCTTGGGCTGTAGGAATGAGATCTCTCGTGATCTGTATCGGCTATAGTAGGATCATCTGTACCGGGAATCATAGTCTTCATATCTGTCATACCCACGATCATATCCTTTATCTTAGTAAGAATGTTGAGGTCTGCCACCACCACCAGCACTAGGAACTAGTCTGCCCATGTAGATCCCTGGTGTGGGTGTGTACACCTTTTGGTAATGGAATAATCCACACCAAATCTTCTGCCCTCCAGCTCCATCTCATTTGCCCTTTCCATAGCCTCCTTTGAGTCATCTGTTCTCTCGAAATACACAAAAACAAATCCTTGCAATCACCCAGTTTGCCCATCATAAACCATGTTTACACCACTCAGTGGGCCATATCAAAAAAATAAGTCACCGGGGCTGGGGATTTAGCTCAGTGGCATAAGTGCCTGCCTCGCAAGCAGGCAGTCGTGAGTTCGATCCCTGGTACCGGTAAAAAGGAAAAAGACAAAAAAAAAAAAAAAAAAATAAGTCACCAAGATGTATACAGACTGAGACCACACACTCCCAAGACAAGTATTGGGATCTGGATTCGCCCTGCTTTCTGCTTTTTGTTTGTTCTATAGTTAGACATTGGTGAGTGACTGGCTCCTTTACTGCTAGTATTCTGGTATCTGTGACCTAGTTCAAAAATATCATCTATGAGAGTGAGAGTGGAATCTGGTTTGAATAATGTCCTTGAGAATGCCTCCTTGATCTCGACTGGGATTTGTATCTTGATTAAGAATGGGATTCCAAGTATTTGGAAACTGCAAGAGCCTGACCTACTCTCTGATTTTGCACCAGTAGGAGTTCTTTTTGGTGATTTTGCCTGAGAGTGAGACTCTCTGCTCTCCAAGTTGTTCTCTACTTCACTCCTGTCTGCTAGGCACTCCCCAAAACTAAGTAAGAGACAAGAGTTGTCCTGAGGACTGACAACTCGGGAAGCAGGAAGATTGGCAAGAATGGCTGCTTCATTCCACTCCCACCAGGTTGCACGCTCAGTCAGAATGGCACCGGTGCCACCAGAAACCATCTCCATAACTGTTTTTTTTTAATATGTAGAGTGCAATATAAATGCTGCTAGGCTGACAAAGATTTGAACCCTACCCAGACTATTTAGCTTTTTTATCTGTGATGACAGGTGTTAACAAGACAGAATTAGTAAGTGGTAAATTGTGATCTATTACTACTACTAGTAAGAGTTCAAAGCATGTGCCTAACAATGGTGTTAGTGATATCATCTTGGTGTACTTAATTTTTATCCTGCAATTATTTTTTGATATGAAGTTTATATAACAGGATTAACCATTTTAAAGTGAATAATTCAATGACATTGTATATATTCACATTGTTGTACCGTCTCTACATAAAAATTTTCGTCACCCTCAAAGGAAACTGTATTACTGTGTACCTGTATTTCTTTCTCTCTATTTAAGGCTATTCCCAGTCTATGTTCTGCCTCTATGGATTTCCTCATTTTGGATATTTTGTATAACTAGAACCATACACTATGTAACATTTTGTGTGTGACTTCTTTAGCTTACCATGTTTTCCGAGTTTGTCCATGTTGTATCATGTATCCATATTTCATTCTTTTTATGACTAATATTCCATCTTATATGTATACCACACTTTGTTCATTCGTTTATTGATGGACATTTGGGTTGTATCTACCTTTTGGTTATTGTGAATGATGCTGCTGCAAACATGTATTGACATGGATTTGTTTGAGTACATGTTTTAACTTTCTGAGGAATCATCAAAAACTGTTTTTTATGGCAATTATACAATTTTCCAGTTCAAGCAACAGTTTTATGAGGATTCTGCTTTCTATGTATTCTCTGTAACACTTACTTCCCATGCCTTTTTAAAATTGTTGGATGTAAAGTAGCTAGTTATTTTCATTTTCATTTTCCAGATAATTAATCCCTTACGTGACTTTTTGTGGACTTGGTGTTTGTATAAGACTTTGGACAGATGTCCAAATTTTTTGCTCATCTTTGCTCTGGTGGTTTGTTTTTTGTTTTGAGATAAAGTCTTGCTTTGTTGCTCAGGCTGGACTAGAGCTTGTGATCCTCCTTCCTCAGCTCCTAAAGTAATGGGATTGTAGGCATATATGACCATACCCAGCTTTTGCTTATGTTTTAATTGGATCATCTTTTGTTTAAGTGGTAAGGATTTCTATATAATCTTTATACAAGACTCTAATCAGATGCATGATTTATAAATTTTATTCTTATTCTTTATATTGTCTTTTTACTTTTTTGATAGTCAATTGCCTGTAAATGCTTTTAATTTCATTAAAGCCCAGTTATCTTATTTTTGTTTTTCTCATTGTTGCACATACTTCTGGTGCATACCTAACTATCATTGCCAAATCCAAGATTGTGAAGATTTATCCTTACGTTTTTTTTTCTAGGAGTTTTATGGTTTTAGTTTCATATATTAATGTCATTAATCAGTTTTGATTTTTTCATATCATGTGAGATTAGGGATCCACCATCAACTTTTTGTGTATGAACATTCAGTTGTGCTAGCACAACATTTTGAAGAGAACAGTTGTCTTACTGAATAGTCTTGGCTTGCTTGTTGAAAATCAATTCGCTGCACATGTATATTTCTGAATTTTTTATCTTATTCCATTTGCCTATGTCTGTTTTTATGTTTTTATGGTTATTGTAACTACTGGACTGTTTCAAAGCTTTAAAGTATACTGAAAGAGCTGTAGATGTTTCTCTGTGAAGGCTATGAATTCAGTCTCCAGTACCACCACCACCACCACCCACATACCAGTATGAATCCTATAACTTTATTCTATTTTATTACTGTTTGACCATTTGGGACCTTTTGCAGTCTCATATGAATTTATGGATCAATTTTTCCATTTCTTCTGAATCATTAATCAAGTCATATCACTTATATGAAACCTTCTACTGGCTTGTACATCACAGTAAAAACCTAAATCTTGACAAACAAAGCACTATCTGCTTTACTACTGGCCCAGTCTTCCACTTTATCTCTTGTTCATTCCAATCCTATTGACCTTGAGCTTCTGTCATAGGGCCCTTTGTACTTTTGCTCTATCTGGAGACCTATTCTTCTAAATATCCCACTGGGTTTATCCTGTATCCTTAAGATTTCTACAAATGTCTTCTTCTGAGACTCTTCCTTGACCACACTACCAAAAATAGCACATTCATTATTTCCTTGCAGTACTTTTTCCTTGGTACTTCTTATCACTATCTCATTTTGTACAGTAGTAAACTGAAGATGAATATTTTAATTATTAATTACTAAATCTCCATCTCTTATAATGGTATTGGTTATAATGGGTGTCTAATAAGTATTTATTGAATAAATGAAGTTTTTTCAAGTAAAACAAGTTAATATATAATGGATACCCTTAATGGGGCAGACATTCATTTAGGCATTTGATATATATTGTTTATATATCATCTTCTTAGCACACTTAAGAGAATAGATATCGTCGTTGATCAGGAAAGCTGAGACTTAGAAAAATCAAATACTTGTCTATAAATGAAATAATTTGATACTCGGTCAACAGTCCTGATTCCAAAACAGAAGCTTTTTCTGTATTGTTGTTTTGAATTAGTAAGTGTCATGTAAAGAATACGAAGATAAAGAATAAATGGTTAAGTCAATGTGTACCTATTAGAGAGTGCAAGACCATTTTTGATATAGGAAAAATGTAAACAAACGTGAAAAAGATAATAAAATTCATCAGAGACTGAGAAGTCATTTTTAGGGACACTGTGAGACAAGGTTGGAAAAAGTGAGTTGGAGGTAGATGGTAACTTGAGCTTGCACATCTAGCTAGTTGAACATTACTGTCTTTGGAGAACTATAGTACTGAATATTTACATGGGCATCTGAGCAATGCAGTGCTTAGTTAAGTGTGAACTTTGTAGGAAAATCATTGGGATTCAAGTCCTACATCTGCTGTATATTAGTCCAGTAATATTTAAAATCTAGTTCCTCACTAGCCAGAATGGAGGTAATAATTTTTAACCCAAAGAACAATTGTGTTCATTAAATGAATTACACATAAAAATACCAAAAATAATGCTTACCACATAGTAAGCATGCTATAAATATTGTGTTGACGTTTAGATTTTATATTGGTTTCATGTGTTCTAGTTCTCTTAAATTTTATAACTGTGAGGTTGATATTACTATATTTAGTTTATTGGTAGAGAAAAGAAAGCCACAGAAATGATACCATGCCACAAATCCTCAGCTGACAAAACTGATCTTCTTTCTAAGCTATTGCCTTACTGTAATCTTAGAAACTAATAGAATGATGCAATAGTACACTTAAAACCAAGTTTTAGGTAAGTTTTTCTAATGGCATTCAGTAAACTAAAATGAAAAGAAACTGGAAACAAGCTTATTGGGCTTTTGAAATAATCTATAGATTTTTCTAATGAAAAATTTCTATTCCAGGGGTGTCTTTGAGAATGAAACATAATTAAAAGAGACATTATGAACCTTATACTAACCAGTAAATTAATATTTTTTTCAGCTGTTTTTAAACTTGAAACAAATAGAAATAGATGGCCCTTGATAAGAATCTATCGGGGTGGTTTTCTTCTGATTGAATTCCTTTTTCTGCTGGGCATCAACACATATGGTTGGAGACAAGCTGGAGTAAATCATGTACTCATCTTTGAACTTAATCCGAGAAGCAATTTGTCTCATCAGCATCTCTTTGAGGTAAAGCAGGCATAAATTCCCATAACATAGTTTGCCACTAAGTATGTAGCTGGTTTATTGGGTACTGAAATCCATCTTCTACTTAAAAAGGGTTATTGACTTACTTATTATTAATCATTAACTTTTAAAATCTTAGTTTATTAAAAATACTTCTGAATAATGGTAAAAATAAGAATAATTTTTCTTTTTGTGTCTTCCCTGTCCTTTACCAGATTGCTGGATTCCTGGGGATATTGTGGTGCCTGAGCCTTTTGGCATGCTTCTTTGCTCCAATTAGTGTCATACCCACATATGTGTATCCACTTGTCCTTTATGGATTTATGGCTTTTTTTCTTATCAACCCCACCAAGACTTTCTATTATAAATCTCGATTTTGGCTGCTTAAATTGTTGGTAAGTCCAGAAACTTGTGTAGCATTTTTAGAGCAGTATGTTAGTCGTTGGCTTCCTCTAAGATAAAACCAAGGCTACCAGCTTGTACAACTCCAGAAGTTCACCATTCACATTGTGTCTATGCTAATGGTATTCCCACATCAGGGGCAGAGGAGGCATGTGACAGATAACCCTGAAAGCTGTGCAGTGTGACATTACTAGGAAAAGTACTCAAGTATTTTTTTCTCCTAAAATGAAGTATAAAATGGCCACATACTGAAATATTTTGGAAGTTTTAACCATTTAGTTTTCATTATACAGCTATGGTAACATAGAACATTGAATTTCTTTCTTTAAAAAAATTGGAAACCTATTCACTTTCCTGTTAAATTGATGAAAAAGGTCAAACAAATACTTTCTTTTAGGAAAGGCTGGTTCTCTAAAAGAGTTAGGAATGTATTTCCAGGTCATCAAGTTTAATTTGAGAAACTAACTGATTATTGAATTCCATTTCTTCCATTTTACCGGTGTCTTAATCTCAAAAGTATTGTTTCAACAATAGGACATAGAGTTTCCTGTAGGAATAATAGCCATATTTTTGTAATACTGTAAGGAGGGCCTCTCCTTACTCCTAAATTAGGCTAGATCTAATTTGAAATCTATTGAAGATATTTGATATTAGTCAGACGTGGTGGCACATACTAGTAATGCCAGCTTCTCAGGAGGTAGGAGGATTGGAACTTTAGGGATAATCTGGGCAACTTAGACTATGTCTCAAAATAAAAGAAAAAGGAGCTAAAGAGATAGGTCAGTGATAGAGACCTTGCTAACATGCATAAGCAGGCCTTGGGTGTGATCCCTAGTACTGCAAAAATAAAAAATAGAATAGTTTTATATCATTATTTCTTAGATTGCTATAATTATTTCCTTTGTTCTTTTTGCCATGAAAGTGTAACTCCTTGACAAATGTAGTTTTTATCTTTTATATATCCTTTGAGGAGGTCAGCAGAGTTTTTGTTGTTACTGGTTTTTGTTGTTGTTTTGTTTTGGTACAGGGAATCGAACTCAACCTCATGCTTACCAGGCAGGTGCTTATACTGCTGATCTATATTCTCAGCGTTTTGTTGTTATTCTTAATGATATATGATTAATTTTTTTATTTGAAGACATAAATTTTTACTTTTCTTATTTTTATTTTTCAGGCAGGCAGATACAGTGATACCTCAGTTGTTGAACTGTATTCCAGAATTGTGTTTGAACACAAAAAGTTCAAGAACTGAAATGTTTCCTATAATAAATAATGGAAAACCAAATAATTGGTTCTGAGGCCCAAAAATTATATTTACAAATTCATTCTTCCAAGACTTTAACATATTTCACAATTACTTCTTTCGTGAACTCTGTGGTGGTTCTGTTTTCCTTTTAGTTTTACTGCTGGTATCACAGACTTTCTTCAGAGCCATGGTTATGATACAGCAAGTAAAGCACCCCTCAAAAAAAATACAGATTAATCTTCACACATTAACACAAGCACTGTATGTTGTCTGGGCAAGAGTGGCACTTACTGAAGTGTCACCTCTTTGTGTCTGCGTAACTCATTCTCAGCCCTGCATGAGTCACTATTGGCTTGTACAGGTTTTTTTAAATTGAGTTTTTGGTTTAACTGTTGAGAAAACTTACAAATACAAAGCAAACTTTTTTGAACTTTGCTCTTCGGATAGTAGCTTGGAGCCATTCGACAGCCGAGGTATCATTGTGTTTATATCAATTAGAAAAATAAAAATGGCTCAAAGACTCTTGAATTTTCTTTTCCAAAGTTGGTTAAGTTTTGAATTTTATGTTTCTTGTGAGAAATTTACTTTATATCAAAAGTTTTGGTACAAATTGTGATTCTCTTTCTCTTCAGTTAATTGGAGGAGATGCTAAAAAGCTTAAGTATAACACCACTAACCTTAACTTTGGATTTGAATTATGAGTATAGAACTTACATATATAAGAATATTTTGATCAGTCATAAAAACTGCACCACCTTCAATACATTTTATCTTCACTTAAGAAACATGCCTTTTTTTTAAAAAAGAAAAAAATAATTTCGAAACAATAGTTAGAGGATAACAATGGCTATTACATCACATATTGTCAACTTTAAATTACTCAAGGTACAAGATATCTGCATTTAATTGTCCAAAAAATATTAGTACACACCTTAATGAACTAAGAGAAATCAGTAGGTTAGCTATCATGTATATTCAGCTTCTCACACTAGGGAGACAATAGAATGTTTACACATATGATGTGGTTTATTTCATGAGTATCACCTGTAGTTACATCCATTTACCTATAAAAGTATCAAGTTTATCCTTTTTGGCTGAATAGTACTCCATCATATAAAAGTACCACGTCTTTTTAAATCTGTTCCTTGGTTGATGGGCATTTGGTTGTTTCTAAGATTTAGCTATTACAAATTGTGCTACTGTAAAGAGGGATTCACATATATCTCTGTGGTATGATGTTTTTAATTTTTCTGGGACAATATTCAGAAGGGGAATATGTGTCAAATGGGACTTCCAATTCTAGTATTTTGAGGAATCTCCATACTGATTTCCACAGTGGTTGTACCAGTTAACATTCCCACCAACAGTGAAGGGTTCCTTCTTCCCTGCTGCCCTTCCAGCAATTGTTTTGGTTGATTTCTTGATGAGAGCCATTCTTCCTGGGGTGAGGTGAAATCTTAGTCTTTTAATTTGCATCTCTTGAATGACCAGTGATGTTGAGTATTTTTTCATATATTTATTTGCTATTTGTATTTCTTCATCTGAGAAGTGTGTATTCATCTCAGGGCCCATATTTGAATCCGGCCTTTAAATTTGGGAGGTATGCTTTTTTTGTTTCTTTGTTTTTTGTTTGTTTTTTTTGAGTTATGTTCTCCATAGTAATCCTTTGTCTGAGGAATAGCTGGCAAATATTTTTTCCCACATTGTGGGTTGATTTTTCACTCTATAGGTGGTTTCTCTTGCTATGCAAAGGAACATGCTTTTTTTTAAAAAGAGTTGTTAATTTTTTTGTTTTGAAGACAGAAAAAAATCTGAGCTAGATGTAGTGGCACACACCAGTAATCCCAGCACCCTGGAGCCTGAAACAGGAGATCCTCCATGAGATCTAGACCAACCTGGGCCACATAGTAAGTTCAGGACTAGCCCAAATTGCACAATGAGATCTTGTCTCAAAAAATAATTAATAAAATGAAATGAACAAAAACAAAAAAAAAAAAATTTAAGTAGTCAACCTCTTGAGACTTATAGTAAAAAAAAAGTCATTGCCAATTAATATTAGATGAACTTTCTTCCTGAAAGTTATCTGTCATTTTATTAGTATTGTGGAATTTTTCAGCTGTATTATTTGCATAAAAGATAAGCATTTTTCTGGTCACTGGAAAATATGTTTATAATATTATGTATTTAAACCATTGTTTCCTGCTTCTGTGTGAAATCTCATGAAATTATTTTCAAATGAGATTTTAGAAGACTTAGAAAATTCAAGTGTTATGACAATTGCATCATTTCAGTAACAGGATAATACAACTGTGTACATTATGTGCTAAATGAGCATTTCCCCAGTGCATCCTTCTTTGTTTAAATAGCAAGCCATCGCCATGCATGACCAGTTACTCTTATTAGCAGAAGGATTCCCCATTGAGTAGTTATTTATTTGTGCATCCGTTCTATGTTTGTTAGTCAATGAGAACATATGGTTTAGAATAAGCTGGCAAAAGTGACATAAAAATAATAGAAAAATAAAATACAGTATTCAAAACACTAAAACACAAACAGAAGAATTAGTTATTCTTATAATAATAAACAAGACTGTTATCATATATGTCATTTAATACAGTTGACCAACTGTTGACTTATTTTAATTCAAATATCAATCATAAAACTTGCATTTTGATTTATTCCTAGTGAATTAACAAGAATGTTTTCACTCATTACATTTCTCTGAAACCATTTATGAAAGTCTTCCTAAGATAAAACTTACTTTCTTTTTCTGTTTCTTCCTTGCCTTCTTTTTTTTCCAATTCAGTGGAATAAACATGTCATTTGGCAATAATGATGCTGTTTGTATTCATATTTATATTGGAATCTGTGGAATTAATATATGCTATCCATCTCTCCTTTTAAAAGAGCTGAAAAAATCTAAGATAATGACTTATTTTAATATTAACATATGTTAAATTTAGTACAACGTATTTACATCCATTAGATCATATCATATATCCTCTTACTTTACTCTTTAGAGTTTGTCCCAATAAGAACTCCAACTAGAAAACAGGCAGTGCCTCAGATTTTCTAAACAAAACATCTGGGCAACTTACTGAGACCTAGTATTTAAAAAGGTAGGAAGAGGTAGGATGTTGCTCAGTGGTAGTGCACTTGCCTGGCATGTGCAAAGCCCTGGGTTCTTTATATGAAGATTCCTCAAAAAACTAAAGATGGAAATTCCATTCAACCCGTCTCTTCCCTTTCTAGGTATCTTCTTGAAAGAGTGGAAGACATCTAGTGATACATGCATACTTACGTTTATAGTAGCACAGCTATTAATGGCTAAAGCTTGGAAGTAACCTATGTTCATCATCAGATGAATAAAGAAAATATGTTATTTATACAGTACAGAGTGCTACTCTCACAAATAAGGACAAATTTGAGTTATTTGTAGGAAAATGAATGCACTTTGAGACTGTGTTAGCATGTTCCCGCCAGTTTGAACCACCATCACTATATGTATGACTGTCCCATGGAAAGACTTTGCCACCCAGTGGGACCATCTTCTGTGGCCCAATGAGACAGTCATATATATACCACTGGTGAGTCAGAGCTATCCAGCAGTAAGACATGAAGTACAGTCCCAGTGTATTAAGTGAAGCAAATCTAACATACAAGTTTAAATATTGTGTGGGGTTTTTTTATATGAGAAATTCAAATTAAGAAGAGCACAATGCAAGACGAACAATAGGAAGTAGGGAGGTAGACCATTTGCAAAAAGGAAAGAGACCAAAAGATTTAGCAAGGAAAGGGGAAGAGAATGGAAAAGGAATTAAGATGAACTCCCTGTGAAGAATATAATTAATACAAAAAGCCATTAGTCCAGGCTCTAGCACTGCCCCCCTAAGAAATCAGTGTTTACCAATATTTTCTTTGTTTCTGTAGTACAATTTCTGTGTCTGTATTTTAAGAATAGAAGACTGGGGAAGCAGTTCAGTGGTAGAGTATTTGCCTTCAGTGCAGAATGCCATCCAAAACAGTGAAGAAAAAGAAAATAGATATATTCTTACTTAATAATGCATTTTATGTACATTAATTTATTCTAACCCCTGAGGTTTCAGCTGCTATTAATCTCCATTTACTATATATTCAGAGAAGTTAAACAACTTATGTAAGATAACAGAGCCAGTTAACTGAGATAAGTATGTGCCCAGGCAATCTCATTCTATAAATGAACTCTTAATACTAACATTTATCTATTAGAACTTTTAGTCACTTTGTCTAATATATTTAACTTTTATTTAGATTTAATGGAATCTAAAAATCAAATTAGGAATGGTATATTTATAAGTTCTAAAAAGTAGAAATTAAAACTTCTTCTTAAACAGGTGTAATGGAATATGCCTGTAGTCTGAGGACTCTAGGAGGCTGACATAGGAGGATCACAAATTCAAGCTCCAACTGGGCAACTTAGCAGCACTGTTTCAAAATTTTTAAATTTATAAAACGGGGCCAGAGATATAGCTCATTGCTGTAGTGCCTGCTTGGCAAATGCAAGGTCCTGAGTTCAATTCCCAGTACCATAAAAATAAAAATAAAATTTGTAAAACAGGGCTGAGGATATAGCTCAGTAAGGCCTTGGGTTCAGTCCTATCATGGCAAAAAAAAAAAAAGAGAGAGAGAAAACTTACCTTAGCTGTGTCTGTATTAACTTAGAAGACCATATTAACATATTCATTGCATAGTTGAACATCTGTAGTCAAAATGTACAAAATACTTCAAAATCCAAAACTTTTTTAGCACTGATGTTACACCACTAACGGAAAATTCCACACTTGACCTCAGTTGACAAAGTGACTAAAAGTTCTAATAGATAAATGTTAGTATTAAGAGTTCAATCAGAATGCAAAGGTACAAAAAATGTATAAAATTACCTTCAGACTATGTGTATAAGGTATATATGAAACATAAATGAAACATATTTAGACTTGGGCCCAGTGTTCAAGGTATCTCATTGTATGTGTGCAAATACTCCAAAATCTACCATGTTTCTAAACCTGAAACATTTTAAATAAGGAATACTTACTCTGTAATAACTTTTTAATGGTATTTGTAATATATGTGGTAAGACATTAGATATTTAATAGCTTTCATAGTAATCAAAATCACAAACGTGAAGAATTTGAATGACTTTAAAGAATGAGTAGTTACAAGATTCTTATTCAAAAGAATTCAGATAAATCTAAAATGAATTTTTATGTGTCAGTGATTGTGATCTGTTTTCTCTCTTACCTTGCCTCTGACAGAGGTACTTGTTCTCTATACAGGATGTTTTAAGTGTATCTTTATAATAACACTTACCATATGGTTCTGTAACTGTATCTCTAGATATTTGCCCAACTTTGAGGTCTCTAAGGCCAGGCTTTTATTTATATTTGTACCTGCACAATGCCTTCAATATAATAATCTTCATTATACGTGTGAATGACTATAATTGCTTTTCCTTCGTTAGTCATACCAACATTTGCTAGTCCCTCCTTCTTATTCATCTTCTGTTTCTATAAATGCTTCCTTCCTTTCAGCTTCTTTTTTAAATGCTGATCTCTTCCTTTTCCAATTCACTCCTCCATCCCTTTGTTTCTTATTTAGTGCACTATATTCTGCTGCTGCTCTTATGGAAGGTTAGCCAGGTTTTGAGTATGGATTTGTCAGACTGTAAGAATAAAGGAAATCTATCTAATGTTAGCTAGAAAAATTTTGCATTGAGCAACCAAGTTTGCAAAAGTCTATGACTAGTAGAGATTGAATTAGATTTCCTAATCCTTTTGTAGTAAATGCGAAAATTTCCTCTTGTCTTTGTCTCTTTGAATTCTTCCAGTCTATTCTGCAACCTAGTTTCTCAAAATATTACAGAAACAGACACCAGAACCTCTTCATGCTTAGATAACTAACATCCCACCCTTCCTCTATTCTTGACCCTACAAGTTTGCTGTGTGTGGAGCTTTTAGTTGTAAATGATTGTAACCTTTGTTTCGGGTGTACTGGATTCACCAAAAGAGGCCAGGAGTTACTGAGTTATGGAACCAAAATATCAGCTCCAGAAAATGTCTCAAAACTTTTATCTGATAGACACCTGATCTTGCTTCTAAAGCTCTAAGATAATATCTGGCATAGATAGTTTACACTCAGGATTGATTCAAAATATCGCCATGTATTTCCCTGAAATAATAATTTAAAAATTAGAAAATTTAAAAAAGGAGCTGAGTCTGCAAGGAGATGTCTTTGTTTTGAGAGCCCATCTTCTGTAAAATAACATAGAGGGATTCTGGGAAGATAAGGATTAAAGCTACCTTCATCCTGTTTTTACTTCCTATAGGTGTTCAAAGCAGTCTACAAAATTTGAGCTTGCATTGGTCTCTAATACTTCTATTCTCTATATAGAATGTCAGGATTTCCCTTTGCACTGGGAAAGAGGTTTCCACAGAATAAGTCAGACTGAGTTGATGGAACTCTTCAGTAAAATGGAAATATGAATAATACCTAGCCTTTAGAGTTGTTATAAGAATTGAGTTAACACATTCCCATGGGCTTGAACTGCTGATCATATGTGCATGACTGTCCTATTGAGCAGCTTGTAACCACAAAATGAGACTGTGTGTCCCATTCTACCCAGTAGGACAGTCATGTGTGTAGAACCAGTTAGTTATTCAGAGCCTGCTGGCAGCAAAACATGAGAATTACAACCTTATCATGAATGTGTTAAAGCAAACCCAACCTCTTAATAACTACACAGATGAGTTGGTTTTTGGTACCTTTAACGCATTTGTTAGCTTTTTCAGAACAATGTGAGGACTGATACTTGTAATTTCAAGATGAACACAATCATTACCATGACAATAGTGGAATGAAAGTCACTTTGGGTAGAGAATAAGGGGTGCCTCAGATGATGTATCATCTTTTTTTACCTATGCTTTGCAGGCAAGGAGGAACTTTGTGTTCAGTTTGCTAACATAGGAAAACATTCTAGAGATGATCATAACACTCTTCTGTCCAGGAGTTACTACTTTCTGACTTCAACTTTTGGCATCAGCTTTTTTCAACTCTTTGCTTCCTTTTTTTTTTTTTTAACTGTAGCTATTCCTTCCCTCACTCACCCTCCCTCTTTAATTTCCTTAATTATCCATTCAACACATTCCCTTCCCTGGTAATCAACCAAGCCACTGTTGCCTCGTCCTTGTGTTTGTGATGGGTATATTGGTTTCCATTTTATCAGCTGAACAGTTGTTCCAAATGTTCAGATGTGAATTAGAGAAATTTAATATGACTTTTCCTATTTCTGAGTTTTCTGATTTTTTTTTTTTTTTTCTCTCTCTCAGTTTCGAGTATTTACAGCTCCCTTCCATAAGGTAGGCTTTGCTGATTTCTGGCTGGCTGATCAGCTGAACAGCCTGTCAGTGATACTAATGGACTTGGAATATATGATCTGCTTCTACAGTTTTGAGCTCAAATGGGATGAAAGTAAAGGCCTGTTGCCAAATGATCCAGAAGGTAGGGTATGAATTTGCATTCACACCACTAAATTGCCAGTATAAACCAGGAAATACTGGAAATATCTTAGAAAGTTAAGGTCATGGTAAAACTTGTCCAATAATTTTAAAATTAAATATACTTGGCACTGTGTTCTTAAGTCTCTTTATCTAAAATAATTTGACTTTTAAATTGTATTATGACTTTAGCCAGCCATTTGCCAAGAGATTTACAACATTAAAGAATTCTAAAACTTTTTTTTTTTTTTTTTTTGGTACTGGTGATCAAACCACAACCTTGCACTTGCTCAGCAGGCGCTAGTGCCACTGAGCTAAATCCCTGGCCCTAAAACTAGTTTCTAAGTTCAGTACATTGGTAGTTATATTGCAGATACTCATTCTCATCACATTCTCATCACAGTGATGGTGAACCTTTTAGAGCTTTCAGTAACAGTCGGCTGCAACACATATGCCTTTGGTTCACTGCCACAGCTCTAGAGTGTTATTTACAGGTGATCAGATTGAGTGCTCGAACAAAGTCATGATGGACTGCTTTTTGATTCTTACTTGGAAAATAAGAAAATAAGAATTTTTCTTTAACTTATTTCTCTACTTGTTTTTTTCCTAGGAGTTCAAATTAATAAGAGATTTTACTTTCTTGACAAAGATCACTTTAGATAGACTGTTGCATCTAATAGAAATTAAGGAAGAAGTCTATGTAATCACAATTTCAGTGATTACTGATGGATCATAATTCTGTTATAGGTTGATTACAATATAATGTATAGACAGAATTTTTTAAAAATTGATTTTCTAACTTTATTCTTATTTTAAAAAATACAAAATCTATTCCTATAATCCCAGGCTGATGGGGGAGGATTGTTGAAAGTTTCAGCCCAGCCTGGGCAATTTAGCAACGTCTGTTTCAAAAAACTAAAGAAGGGTCCGGGGGTATAGCTCAGTAAAAAGGCCATGTATTCAGTGTGCAGAATAGTGGGGGAGGAGGGGTGGACATACTCTTACGAGTATTGTTGTAGTAATTTGAAGTTGTCAGGAGTCACCTGTGATATTTGTAGATTTTCCAGATATTTCAAATTATGGAACAAAACATTCCTCCCCTTTAATTTTCATATTCATTTTCTAATTTATTGTATAGTTTTATCATATTTGTTAAAAATTGATTCTACGACAGGTAACCCAGAAATTTGAGAGGGCAGATTTTCTCATTAATCACTTTACAGATTTTACCTTTTCTTCTTGACTTATATACCACTAAAAAATCTTGAGTGTATTATAATTGCAAAAAAGATAGTGATTCTGAAACCCAGGCTTTTTGCTTCTTGTTGATAGCTGCTGTATATAACTAAATAATGCAAATAGACTTCTTAATTATAATTTTTTTCTTTTTGAAATCTTCACAGAACCAGAAATTTGCCACAAATATTCATATGGTGTACGAGCTGTTGTTCAGTGCATTCCTGCTTGGCTTCGCTTCATCCAGTGCCTGCGCAGATACCGAGACACTAAAAGGGCCTTTCCTCACTTAGTTAATGCTGGCAAATACTCTACAACTTTCTTCACGGTGACGTTTGCAGCTCTCTACAACACTCACAAAGGTATTCGCTGATGGACTATCAAGCAATTTTCACTGCCTAGCTTGTACTTCAGCTTTCCTTACTTTGGTTACTTTTCCATTTTTCTACTGAAGTTCTAGTCCTCTCAATATCTTTGTTCTACAACACAATTTTAGTCTCATGATATTATTTACTAACAAGTGTCGTTGAAAAGAACCAGTCACCCAGATCAGAAAGGATGGTGATAATTTTTGAAACCCTGAATTATGTCTAATGACTTCAATCTATAGATGCCTTGAGTTTTCATTTAGTGTTTTAGATTTTCCTATTCATTAATGAGGTTGGAAAGTGGCTAGGTGAAAAAGAATCCCTCTGGAAATCAAATATATTTTTAACCGCTTTTCTTCACCAAGTAGTAAGAATCATTTCCAGCCCATTTAACTGCAAATTGAGTTCGCTCATCCCTCTAGTTTCTCATCTCCATGGCAACCTGCTATTACTTGCCATTGCTCTTCTGTTAGGAAGAGAAAAAGCTTTTAAGTTCTGAGACATGAGTAGTCAATGCTTTTGAATTTTTAACCTTTTTCCAAGAACTGTCAATCAACAATCTCGCTTCCTTTTACTAACATACATTCCTTCTTTGTCTAAATTAATAATGTAGTAGTAGCAGCGCACACCTTCGAGCTGCACTTTTTCATCTATAGGTGGTAAAGAAGTGTTGCTAATTGAAACTATTATAGTTATTTTTAAATACTTGGTAAATTTTTTTCAATTTTTTTTTTTTTTTTACTTGAGAAGCTGTATTTAGGTAACTTCAACCAATGCTACAGTACTGCTACTTAGCTGAAGTATATTTAGGCTGAAGATGTAGCTCAGCAGGAGAGTACTTGCCTAGCTTGGACAAGACCCTGGGTTCAATCCCCAGTACCACAGAAAATGAATGAAGGAAAAATTAAATGTGTTTGATGATCATGATAGATAAGGGCATTACTTTAGTATTATGACTTGGCATGGATGTGGTCCAACAGATACATTCTAACATACACCCATTTTTGAAGTAGATTCTGCAGTTAGAATAGTATTAATAAATGTAGCCAGTAATTTTACCCCATGTAAGTACTCTTGTTAAATAATACTGTTGTGGGAAAATTTCCAAGTCAAACCGAATGGAAGACTCTTTACACTGAAGAGATAAGAAGGTAGCCTTTAATCTTTACATCAGCAGATGGTTGTGGGATCATTCCCAAAGGGGATGTAAACATTAGGTTTACAAAGAGTTTAGTTTATGTAGCATTTAGAAATAGAAAGTACAGGGGCTGGGGATTTAGCTCAGCGGCATAAGCGCCTGCCTTGGAAGCAGGCAGTAGTGAGTTCGATCCCCGGTACCGATAAAAAGACACAAAAAAAAAAAAAAAAAAAAAGGAAAAGAAATAGAAAGTACAAAGCAAATGACAAATCGTTACATAATTGGTTACATGCATTAAGTCATATATTGACAGACAGGCTAGTCTTAAAATTTGCTAAAACAAATAATATCATAACACAGAAACATTCTGGGAACAAGGGGAAATGGCCCATATAGGGTGAGCATAATTAATGGTGTCCTTGACTAGCCCAGGGTGCCTTAAAGTATAAACAGTTACTCTGACTGAGTGCTTATCAGAAGTATGCAGCTGGGCTTTAGACACTGTCAAGGTTAGTTGAATTCAGCAGAAGCAGCAGAAACTTGGTCAGAGACCTCTAGTTGCTCTCTAATTTGTATCATGAAATACCTATAAGTTTGCTATTTTATAAATGTGTTCTTACATTATAATTGTGCCCCAACAATACGATTTAACCAACTATCTCAGTGAAGGGAATACAGCTCCAAAGCTCCAGTAATTGTAACTCTTGCTGAGGAATACCATCAATCGGTTTCAGCCTGCATCATAAATTTAGAAAGTTATTAGAGGGTTTATAAACTGGCAGCTAATTTGATACTAAATTATCTAGAACCTGTCACTCTTCTCCCATTTTAGGTAAAAATGAGTAGTGTATTTTTTTGTGTGAGTACTGTATTTCTAATTGAATGTTTTAGAACATAATGTATCTATAATTGTGTTAGTACCATCACTAAGAAGCTGAATATCTGAATTTCTCGAATCTATAAACACTCCAAATCTAAAAAGCCAAAGCTGGAAAAGCAGTGATTTTGATAGCCTATAGTCTTTAGATTTTTTTTTACTCATGCATCCCTTCAAATAATTTTATAAACGTATTATTTCTTGGATACTTTTACATTTACAGCTGAATTTCTTTTTATTAATGTATGTTAACAACACATTGTAGTTAAATTTGTTTAGGGGATTGGTATATAGATACTGCATACCTTGATCATTTTTATCCCTTTATCCCTCCTCCCTGCCCTCTCTCCTTTCCCTCACATTTTTTTATCTAAAGTTTAGATAATTGCATAAAGAACAAAACAAAAGATAGATAATAGGAAACAGGGAAATAGATCTTTTGCGAATGGGAAGGAGACTGAGAGATAAAAGTAGACAGGAGGAGGGAGAGGGAAAGGAGATGGAAAAAGAATTGAGATGCATTATGTACGTGCACCATCTCCTCACAGGAAATGTGATCATTATGTACTGCAGACATGTACTAATAAACAAAAACTGAAAAACATACCATTTCTATTGTATTTTAAGTATTCACATTTTAAAACAAAACTGCTGAATGTTTGTTACCAGGAATCCAGGTCCAGACATGGCAAGGAAATGCACCCTCACTTCCTAAGTTCTTTGTGCTCTCTGTGACAAAATTTAATCAAGACACAAAATGATGCAGAAGTACAGGTAAAATTTCCTATAAGGTATATACAGAGAGAGTTACCCCTTCAAGTGAGAAAGGCTGTCAGTGCTAAAGGCATCTGCACCATTTCAAGTTTGGATACGTTTTCATGCACACAAAAGTTCTTCCTGAGGTTCAGAGAACTAGGATACTTATGATGTTTCTTGATACTTTACCTTATTTTATTTTAAAGAGAAAAAAATTCAAAACAATATAGAGGATAACAATGGTTAATACATTGCATATTGTTATCTTTAGTTACTCAGAGTACAAGATATTAGCATTTAATTATCCACCCAGTATTAGCACAAATCTTACTTTTCAGTGAACTAAGAGAAATTAGTAGCATCACTATCTTAACTATCTTTTTATATATATACATATATAACTATCTTATATATATGATTATATATATGATTTATATAATATGTAAGATATTATATATATAAGATTATATAAATTATGTAATTTATTTCAGCTTCTCTCACTAGGGACTCAATAAGATGTTTACACATACAAGTCTGATTTATTTCACTTATGAATATGGTCTCTAGTTGCTACCTAACTATAGTCTCCATTTACCTACAAAATCTTCGAGTTTATCCTTCTTTATGACTGAATGTACTCTATTGCAAAAAAATACCACCTTCTTTTAACCATTCTTCGGTTGATGGGTATTTGGGTTGTTTCCAAAACCTAACTATTACAAATTGTGCTGCTATAAACATGGTGTACATTAAAAAAAAAAAAAAAACATGGTGTACATGTATCTTTGTAGTTTGATGTTTTTAATTCTGGGAAGATACTCAGGAGGGGAATAGCTGGGTCACACAGTTTTTTAAAGACACTTCAGACAGATTTCCACAGTGGTTGCACCAGTCCACACTCCCACCATCAGTGGAGAAGGGTTCCTTTTTCCCCACAACATTTGTTATTGCTTGATTTCTTAATGAGAGCCATTCTTTCTGGGGTGAGGTGAAGTCTCAGTTTTGTTTTAATTTGCATCTCTCAATCACTAATGATGTTGAACAATTTTTCATATATTTATTTGTACTTCTTCATCTGAGAAGTGCATCATCATCTCAGATGCCCATTTTTGGATTGGATCTATTTAGGAAATCTGATTTGGTTTTGTTTTGTTTTAGTTCTTTATTGATACTTTACTTATAAGTTTCTTTGAAATTGAGAAGTATCTTCCTATCCTTTTTACGTACTTTCCCAGGAGTTTTAATCATATAAGAAATATCTGAAAGATAAATTCTTAAATTAAACCATGTCCCAGTCCAAGGCTGAAGGATCTTTTAAAAAAAACATTACCTTTTCCAGTATCACTAGGCTGCAGGCTATGGCAGCCTGGAGCTCTGTAGTATCCAGGTAGCCAGGTAAATAAAGGACTGTGCACAGTGTATAAACTTGAAATGCCATTGGTCTCTCTGGGATTGCTTTAGATCTGATTCCTAACAAATAATTGTAAATGTGTTATACATTGAAGTCTTTGTTTCTTAACTGGCAACTCATTAATTGGTAAGTATTTTGGACCCCATGCCCCGCACCCACCCTCTCCCCTTCTTTCAAGCCTGCTACTGTCTTAACTACCTGCCTAACATGTCTACTAAGTATATCCTAGTAACCTAAGTAAAAGGCAGTTTAATACTTAGAATTTTTGGTATTTTGTTTTTTGAAGTAAAGTCTACCTGTGTACTTAAGGCTGGTTCTGAACTCTCTATGTAGCTCACAGTGTCCTTACAATTGATGTGATCCTCCTGCCCCAGCCACCAGAAACCTGGGATTACAGATGTGTGCCACCATGCTAGCATATTTTTAATGAAACAGTTCTATAATAGAATATTCTTTCTCATTAAAGTATATTTTAATGTGACATACTAATATTTTTATATCTTGTCTGCTACATATATATGTAAATTGACTATTTTCTGTCCTTACAAGGTGCAAAAATACTAATCTTTTCTTTTTTGGGGTTGAAATTATTACACTATTACATCTGTTCAAAGCAACATTACAAATACATTACAAATTTTAATAATTATTGCACGTGTTTCATAATGTGATAAACATGTTATTTCCCTTTTCTAGTTTTTGTGAGTAAAACCTTACAAACATTTATGTAAATGAAAAAAGGAGTTTTATTGCTGCAATGACTCAATTTTAACTTGACTCACATGCTCAAAACTACAGTTATTTTTAATGAT